TGTAACAATGTAATGGACTCTCAAGTAACTTGATTAGTTTGATTCAGTAGCATCGTGAAATTGTACATGAGTATAAAAAATATTTTACTTACGTATTAGTTTTACAACTATTAAATAAGTTAGGGTTATGTAACTTCAAAATTGCATTACATTACACAAAAACTAGCAGATGTAGGCTTAAACAGAATGTCCGTTTAACTTCAATACATTTATACGTTTAAAAATAAGAAAAAAAAAAAAAGTTGGATTAACTTTCGTGTTTGTTATTGCTTGTTATTGCATTGAGGTAAAAGTTTAAGAGCTATTAAAATAACATTTGCAATGAACGTTAAGTAGACATTCACTGTTTATCATTTGTACATTTGTAATTAACGTCCAAAGAACGTAAATTGTTCACAATAGTTGGTTTAATTAACAATTGTAGCAAACGTTATACAAACCTAAATGAAAGTTGAGAAAACATTTCTTAAACGTTAATTGTTAACTGAAAAATTGCTTAATATATTGTTATATGATAAATATGAGGAAAAATAAAAATTTGTTGTGAAATAGACTTACAAAGACCGGTATTTTCACGGGTCCGCTCAGCTAGTTTATATAATAATAACAGATAATTGTTTTTCTGTCATATCAAAGTAAATATTTAAAAAAATTTTTTATTTGTTTAAAAATTTTTTTTATATAAATTTCTGTAAAAAAAATTTCTTTATTAAAAGATGTTTTTTTTTTCAAAATAAATTATGGCATAAAATATAGAGACAAAAACAATGACTATATAAACGGATGGGAGTTAGAGTTACATTTAGTCCAACTAGAATTTGTAGACCAACTTTTTAGTCTAACTAAAATTAGTTGGCTAATATTTTAGTTTTACTAAAATTAGTCGGCTAGCTTTTTAGTCTAACTAAGAATAGCCGACTTGAATTTTTAGTTTTCTAATATTAGTAGCCTAATATTTCAGTGTAACTAAAATTAGTCGCCTAAAACTTTTATAAAAAATGATGAAAAAAAAGATGAAACGATATAAAAATAAAAGAACAAAATATAACATAAAAATTTCACACTTGAGGTTGGTAAATCAAGGCGTTCCAATACTATTTTGGTACTGTTCTAAAAATGAATTTTACGGCTCAGTCAAATCATCATAGTATCGTATTAACTAAATTTGATTATTTTATTTGTCGCTATGTCAAAGACAGCTTATTTTTACTCTTTTTAAGCAGTATGTAAAAAACACGCATTGAGAATGTTTATAAAAGCGCATAATTTTATTTAGTTATTGTGAAAACATATTTATTGCTTTTTGAAAAGTTTGGTTAGTTATGAGAATAGAAAACTTGAATAAACATCGTATCTTTTTAACTAGATTTCAGTTTTTTCTTCCGGCTATTACACTTGCAAAGGTTTACCAAATTTAGTATATCTTTCTTTTTTTTTTTGTATATCTCTTTGTCTACACATGCTTAAATATGATAATTATTTTTTATTATTTATTTATTTTAATGATCAATGCATTTTATGAAAAATAAAAATTAATTTACAAAAATTATTCGAAAAAAATATTCCATGTATCAAATCATTTCAAGGAAATTTTTTTGCAACAGTTCCTTAAAAAATAAGCTTTTTGAAAAAATAAATTACTTAAACTTGCCGGTTTACCTTTCAATTTTTTGAAGATAACATCAAATAAAGAAGCTAAACAATTAAGCTTTAATTTCTGCCATCTTTCATTGCTATTTTCCAGTAGCGTTTTCATTTTACACTAGGACTAATGCAATAATACTAAAAATTTTTAATTTCTGGTGAGTTTTCAATTTCTGGTGGAAATTCAATGCAACATAAAAAGTTGAAACTGATAGTTTCTTTTAACAATTTTTAGTAAAGTTATTATTTAACTATATTGAGTTTGAGTAAACGATCTTGTTTAAAAAGCCATAGGAGTGTACATACATCGCCTGAGAGTTTTGGCATAGACAGGCAGTCAAATTCTCAGAAAAAAAATAAAAAGCCAAGGAATATACAAAAACTAAATTTAATTAAATAAAATTTTGTAATACATTTCTTTAGAATAATATAATGTAAACAACAACTTACTTCCTTCTCGATGTTATTTATTATATTCATTATATCTAATTCATTTTTCTAATTCATTTTAAATCTTAACTTACAACTTTTTCACTGTGGTTTTCAAAATAATCTTTTTCATCATCAAATGATAACCTTAAATTTTTTGATTCCTTTGTCAGTTTTTCAATTAGAGCTATTTCACATGCCAGATAAAAATCCGCCAAAAATTTCATTACGTTTATTAAATTTTTTTTTTCTCATTCCTTTCACAGAATTGAAAACATTTTTAATTTGGATCTAAAAAACGAGTCTTTTTCTATTTCATATGAATTTTTGTAAGTTTTTAAAGATAAACATGAATAATTAATAAACATGTTTCATATGTATAGCCAGATAGTAAAACACTCACTTCATTAAAGCTTACAAATGCGTTTACCGTTTCTTTTAAGTGAAAGATTTCATCTTTATTAAGCAAATGTTTTCTGATATCATTGTATTGTTGTTTCAAGTTAAAGATTTCTTTCACGTTGGAGTGAAGTTTAAGCATTTGCTCTGCCATAAGAAACGCAGGGTTTTCATATTTTGAATCAAATGAAAAATTTTATTTTTTTTGAAACCTTATCGTATTTGACTTTCTTCTAATAAATCATTAAGTTGAGAAAAATTCAACTTTCGACTTAAAAAATTCAACTTTCGATATAAATTGGTTAAAAGAGATCTTTACTTTTGGCACGGCAATTTGCACTTTAGATTTAAAAAGGAGACAAATTCATTGAAGGCATTAGTTTCTACTAACATAAACTGAAGGCAACAGGCAAAAATGAAAAGTAAAAGACTTTTATCAGTCTTATTGCTGTTTTTTTAAAAATGCCAGTTATTTTTTTTGGCGTTATTATTTGGTGATTGTGTTCAAGATGGTGATCTACTATACTCTTTGATGTTTTATTCAATATCTTTTTAGATCTTTTCGTATTGCATTTATTACATATCCATTTTACACTTTCTTTTTCAATTAAGTAATATTCTTATGTAGGTTTTGTTGCTTCTTTAATCTCCTGTGTATCAGTTTCATTTTCCATTCAAACGGATAAAAAATTAGAACTGGTTTTGCTTTCAACCTCATTTAAAATGATTTGTTCATTTATATTCTTTTTTTTTTATTCAAATTTTTCCTTATATTGGATATTAAAGTGGCATGTTCATTTGAATGAAAAAGTATTTTGTTTGTTATAATTTAAATTTTCATTTATTTCAAATAAATTTTCAATTATTGTTTACATTAACTATTTATCTAGTATATTGAAGGAAACCATTATTGTCTAATTTGAACTGAGTAAACCTTATATTCTAATTGGAAATAATTGAATTTGGTATAAACTGTGACAATATTTACTGTTTTTCTTAAAATATATAGCAAAAATGTTTGTTTTTTTGTCTAATATTGTCCTAAATTCTAATTTAATAATCGCTTATTGGAAAAAGCATTGAACAACAGATAAATGTAATTTTCTCTGAAAGCTTCGATGATTATTTTAACGATGATTTATTTAAACGAAGATTATTTTCAAACTTTAAACTGATACAGTAATATACTTTTAAAAATTATCATCGAAGCATTAGTAAGAAATATATTTTTTTAAATTTACTACTTGTTAAAGATTATAAAATATGTGGTGTTTTCACTTTTATCCCTATTGGCTTTAACATATAAAAACCATGTGGGAAAAAATAATAATCCCTACATGGTTTACATGCTAGTAAAAAACACGCGTATCAAATGTGGAATATGCTATATTCAACTTATGTTAGACTTGCCAGCTATGTTCTAACTGGAATTTACCAAAGAAAACCTACGTGGTGCACAGTAATAATCTCCACATGAGTTACCTGCGAAAAAAACGAAGCGTATATTTTGTGCGATTTGAGTAGCATTAATATATTCGAAATAATAAAAAAGAAATAGCTCTAAAGTAGCAAACCGAGATTTATAACGAAAATGTGAATTTATATCAATATTTCAAGATAACAACTAAACCGAAGATTTAGCATAAGAATTATTTCGAAAAAAGCAAACTTTTGCTTATGTCAAAACATGCAAATCTGGAACAATTTTGAAAAAAAATGTGCAAAACATGCAAATCTTATGTCAAAACATGCAAATCTGGAATAATTTTGAAAAAAAATGTGCAAAACATGCAAATCTTATGTCAAAACATGCAAATCTGGAATAATTTTGAAAAAAAATGTGCAAAACATGCAAATCTTATGTCAAAATATGCAAATCTAGAGTAATTTTGAAAAAGGTTTTTGAGAAAAGTAATTTATTTTCAATTATAAAAATTGTCTTAAAGTTATTTAAAGGAAAAAATACAAATGCAATAATTGACTGAAATGGCTCAGTTGCAACAAAAAATAATTGCAATTAAAATGTTAACACTGTTAACATTTTGTTAGATTTGAAATTATTATTATTTGATAGACTGCCTGCCCCAAACTGACCCTCAGCCAATGTAGCAACTCTCACTTGTGGTAGCAGTCTATAAAATAGTCAATGTAACAACACACCTAGCATGTTCTACAATTACAAAAAAAATAAAGATGCAATTGAAATGTTAACGCTGCTTTATTTATTTGTTTTTTGATACAATTTCTATTTTCATGACTTCAATTCAATCTCATACCGCATTTCAATTCAAATCCAAAGTTTTGATTCAAACTTAAATCCTAAGTCAACTAAAATGTTAATGTACAATTGCGTAAATTTTTGGCTTTAATCACTTCGACATAATTCCCGCTTTTGATCAACTTTTTTTCAAGGCAAATATGTCTTCGCTACGATTTTTTTCTAGGTTTTAGTTTTTAAACATGGTTTAGTTTAACATAATGTAATCTTTTACTAAAAAAAAATAATAACTAGTAAAAATGTAACTTACTATTTAATAACTTGAGTAATTTTTTTTTACATTTAAATTCATTTTTGCTGTTGTTGCTTTCATGATAAGTTTTGTTTAACTTTTGGTATGTTAACGTCCATTCAGAAGCATCATAAATAAAGGTTTTACAATCAAGTTCCTCAGTTAAAAAAAAGTTTTTGTATTCCAGTTTTTTACTATTTTCTGTGACGGCAGACGATGCACATAAGTTTACGTTAACCATTGGTAAATTTATTATATTATATAGTTCCAAGAAATAGATACCACCAAACAGAAGTACGCAAGACGCTGCAATATTTATTCTAACCAGTTTATTGTTCATCTTCATTGATTATGAAACTATAAAATTGAAAAACTTTTAAAAAGTTTGACAGATGCAAAACTTTATTTAATTTTTAATTCGATTAGAAAAAGATCTACTTTCCTTGGGGTGGAATGCTAGGCGCAAACTTAAAATTTGAAGTAATATTTCAAATCTAATATATATATGTATATATATATATATATATATATATATATATATATATATATATATATATATATATATATATATATATATATATATATATATATATATATATATAAATAAATAAATATATATATATATATATATATATATATATATATATGTATATATATATATATATATATATATGTATATGTATATATATATATATACATATATATATGTATATATATATATATATATATATATATATATATATATATATATATATATATATATATGTATATATATATATATATATACATATATATATATATATATATATATATATATATATATATATATATATATATATATATATATATATATATATATATATATATATATATATATATATATATATATATATATATATATATATATATATATATATATATATATATATATATATATATATATATATATATATATATATATATATATATATATATATATATATATATATATATATATATATATATATATATATATATATATATATATATATATATATATATATATATATATATATATGACCAATTCCAGAGTAAATATCTTTTATTACTCTAAATAAACCTTGAATAAAACTTTTAAAATATAAATTAAACACAATTGTATTAACATAACACTGACACATAACAAAAATTAAAACATGAGTTCAGTGATAAAACGCTAAAAAAAGTGTTAATTTATCAGCATACTTTTTTTTGTTTTTTTGAGTTTTTGCTGAATTTTTAATTCTTGCTAGACTAATTAAATTTTGTTGTTGTAATTTATTCATTTGGCAACAAGGCAGTCATAAAAAGGTCATAAACAACAAAGTTTTTATATCGTTTTACTTTACAGAAAAAATTATCAGACGCAACATTCAGTTACGAAACAAAACGATAAAAATAAAATCATGGTCAAAAAGTTTTGTTATTTTGTAATAAATTTTAATTATACTCAAGTAAAAATAGCATGGAAACAACGTTATCATTCTAAATATAAAAATAATGTGATTTTGATATTTCTTGAAAATATCCTAAAATACTTAAAATTGAACTGAATCCAAGTTCATTTTTTTGTTGTTTTGTTTGCATCATTTTTTGACATAAGAAATACAGATCTTTGCAAATCTTGTACTGTTAAGGCAAAATTTGCATCTGACCTTATCATGAATTGACTAAATTTAACTCTTAGCGCTGCAATTTGCTTAACATTAGCTCCAATTCCGTTAACCATACCTTTCTTGTACATCGCTGCAAAGAAATGATAATAGAATTTTTTCTGAAAAAATTTTTTAAACACAATGATTGCAGACAAAATAATTTTGTTTTTGAACTGAGCAGTGGCAGTATCACTGAACATGTGTACTACTTTGGCTCGATTAGGAATAAAGTGAAAGATTTTGTCAATGTAGGGTATAACTGAAGACTTTGTATGATCAGTTGAATAAGAAACTATAGCAAATATTTTAAACTTAATGTTCCAGACTGCAAGGGTCATAATAGAATCTTTTTTTTACCAAAGATAAGCATTTTGCTGTTCAATATGATAGAAACATCTAGCATTTTCATTCCAGTCAACTTGGATTACTGCAATTTCAGATTTATTACTCATCAAATGATCCTTGAATTTCTTAAAAATTGTTGATTGGTTTTTCTTTACAAATGCACGTTAAACGAACTTTTCACACAACACTAATACGTGTTAAATGAGTGCTGTTGCAAGAGACTTTTTTAAAAATTTTTCGATGTACGTATATGTATTAGTTTCAGGCTTTCTTCAATCGTCCCAGGATACTTCGAAACCAAATGTATCAACAGTTTGCAAGTTTTTATCAAACTGTTTCATACCATTGCATTCAACGCATTTGTCATAGGCACAATCGTATGATATATATTGCTCAAGACATATATACTCACACATAAGTCTTGAGTAAAAAAACTTTTACTTTTTTACAAAAGTTAAGGTGTTTTCACTCAAGACATATAAATAATCTCAAAGATTCTTTCTAAACAAAGAGATGTATGTGTTTTGTTTAAAGTATTACAATAACTTGTCCTCAAACTCTACTTACTTTTTTAAATAAAAAAAACAACAGCTGCTAACATTCAACAAGTTTATCTACGCCGTTAAACTATTTTTGACTCAAAATTTATTTTAGCAATAATTTTAAGGTGTTTAAACCCCAATTAAAAAAAAAAAATTATAAAAAAAAATTTTAAAACACGAAATTTATCTCCTCCATCGTGGAAATTGCCATATAAATTTATAGTTTAAAAACTAAAAATTTTTTTTTATTTAAATAATAGGTTGCTTGCGCAAACCTAACCCTTAAATAATGCAGTACCACATCTTTTTAGCAGCAGGCTATAAGTAGTCGATGTAGCAGAACACTCTTGTAGCAGCAGGCTATAAAACCGTTCATGTAGTATTACTCGGCGCATTAACTACTTTTCTTTAAAACGCTTTTAAAAAGTATTTTTTTAAAAAAACAAAATCGCTATTAACTGAAAAAAAAAACAATCTGATCATTATTATTGCTGTATTTTAAAAAACTATAAAACTTAATGTATTTTCGAATTATTTAAATTGTTTTATTCATTAAACTGTTTTTTCGCAAAATTAATAGTTGAATGAGACTTTTTTTATAACAAGAGTTTCTTTCGAATAAAATTTAAGGTAAAAAAAATTAGTAACAGGAAAAAACTTAAGGTAAAAAAATTAGTAGCAAGAAAAAATCCCCTGGGAAAAAATCCCCCCCCTCCATGAAAAATACCTCCGAAATAATCCACAGAGTAAAAATCCCCCCTGAGAAAAAATCCACTCGGAAAAAATCCTCCCAGGAAAAAATCCCCCCAGGAAAAAAATCCCCCCAAGAAAAATATCCCCCCAAATAAATTGAAAATTTTATTTTTCATAAAAGTTATCAATAAAATAGCTATATTTATTTATCTTAAATAGTTTTATAAAATACTTTATTTTTCATCATAATGTAATTTCTCAAGTGTCGATAAAAATTAATATTGAAAAAAAACTCTCTAATTCCTAATATTCTATTTTAAAGCTTTATTTAAAATATATATATTTTTTTTTTAACTGTAAAACATGCGTGGAGTATTGCTAAATTGACTATCTTATAGCCTGACTCGCAATGGAGTGCTGCTACATCGACTGTCAAATAGCCTGACTCGCAACGGAGTGCTTCTACATCGACTGAGGGTTTGGATCGGGCAGGCAGTCTATCAAATAATTAAAGAATGTATATATATTTTTATATTTTTTTTGTCTAGTTTCACCTAATTTTCCTTTAATTTTTTTGAAATATTTTTTTCGCTTGAAAGTCCATAAAATATACCGCTAAAATAACTACGATGGTTTGCAAAAAAGTTCACATTTTATCAGTTCGCAATTCGTCGGGGTTAGGGTTAGGGTTTCACATTCGCTACCTTTGAGGAATAGCGCATAACATGACATTTCGATGAAAAATAAAGTATTTTATATAAATATTTAAAATAAACAAAGAAATTAACATAACTGCATTTTGATAATTTTTATGTGAAAAAATAATTTCTTTTTTTTTGGGAATTTTCCGGGGGAAGTTTTCTCAGGGAGATTTTTTCTCGGGGGTTTTTTTCCCGGAGGGATTTTTTCCCAAGGGACTTTTTCCTAAAACCAAATATTGTTGTCGAAAGAGGCTTTATTTTACCATAACAGTCACTATAAAGATATATATAAATATAAATATATATATATATATATATATATATATATATATATATATATATATATATATATATATATATATATATATATATATATCCTTAAAGTGTAGTCGATAAATAAATATATAAAAATAAATATATATATATATATATATATACATTTAATGTAGTGAATATATATATATATATATATATATATATATATATACATTTAATGTAGTTGATATATATATATATATATATATATATATATATATATATATATATATATATATATATATATATATATATAAATTTAATGTAGTTGATATATATATATATATATATATATATATATATATATATAATATATATATATATATATATATATATATATATATATAAATATATATATATATATATATATATAAATATATACATATATATATATATATATATATATATATATATATATATATATATATATATATATATATATATATCCTTAAAGTATATATATATATATATATATATATATATATATATATATATATATATATATATATATATATATATATATATATATATATATTATATAGTCTTGCATGTCTCTTGCGTAGCATCAAAAAATATTTCCCATAAACTGTAGTTTTAAAGAGCGCGTTAATAAACCAGACCAGAAAAAGTTTTAAGAATTAAATTTTTTTTTTTAATTGATAGACTGCCTGGCCAAACCAAACCCTCAGTCGATGTAGCAGCACTCTCTTGCGAGTCAGGCTATTTGTCAGTCGTTGTAGCAGCACTCCCTTGCGAGTCAGGCTATTTGTCAGTCGATGTAGCAGCATTCCCTTGCGAGTCAGGCTATTTGTCAGTCGATGTAGCAGCACTCCGTTGCGAGTCAGGCTATTTGTCAGTCGATGTAGCAGCACTCTGTTGCGAGTCAGGCTATTTGTCAGTCGATGTAGCAGCACTCCGTTGCGAGTCAGGCTATAAGATAGTCGATGTAGCAACATTTACGCATGTTTAAAAAATGTTTTTTATTAAATCAATAACAAAAACACCACTAATTAAAAAAAACTTTCTAGTCGTTATAATTGCGGTTTTTTAAAAATTTTTAAAAAACAATTAAATTTAATGTACTTCCG